TCAATGTTAAGTGAAAATATTGAATAATAAGCTATTTTATTCATTGTATAGGTAGGTTTGCATTATGTCATCTGCATACATTTGCGTACTAATTTCTTGGCACAATAATGAATAAAAAGTCTTGTTGGTCACTGACCCTAAAGGCATCAAGTAAAAGAATACTGGAATGTTTAGAATTGTGTTGTCTTTATTATTATAATCATTGTTAGTATATTTTCAATTATTTTCATTATTAATGATATAATCAGTATTACTTACTACATTAAACTTACTGAATGTAATACTCCTTAACTGAAACATGTTCATTCTTCACAATAACATAAAGCTATTTCAGTATTTCAATGAACATTGTTACTTAAGTGTGTTAAATATATTCCTGCCAAATGCTACACATCAAATAAATGAGCCGAGCTGTTGAGAAGCTGGTAAAAGTGCATATCATGAAGCAAAAAATATTCTGTGAACAAAGTGGCTTTTAACATCTACATTTATAAAACATTTATGCCGTGTGACATGTGTTTTTCATCCGGATTGTAAGTTTGCACTCCAAATCAGGTCTCCCAGCCAGGCTGAATCAATATTGGAGGAGCAAAGCCCTTGTTCCCCGTGTTTATAGATCCATGCCTTCTGCTGGACTTTACTCCACTCCACATTCTGATCACTGTCAGTTTGCTGGAGACGAGGCTGGAGAACTGCGATATATGTTGCCTGTATTTATAGTTGACAGATATGGGAATGCATGTTCCCATTTGGTATTCTATCAACTTTCTGAATATATATATTGATAAAACAGTATCTAGTTCATATAATACAAGGATATTTATTTCTTCACAATAATGTCACAATCGTATATGTGCATCAAAATCAGCTAATAGAAATGTCCTGTGTGCACGTGAAAATTGTCACGTTTGGCTCTTGAGTTTCAGGCCACGCAGAAAATAGGGTTTTCTTTAGAGAGAAGGTGCCCTAGACTCTAATCCCAGCGTATTACAAAAGTGCCTGCTGCTTTTAAATGAGAAGAGTTAATGTGATTGGCCATTACTGAAGGTTGTGCCTACTCTTTCCTCAGATAATTTATTCCTCAAGAATGTTTTTATCCACCCTTCCATATTAGTATTTTGCTTCGAGTCACCAAAGTATGTTTGCAACCTTAGGAGGTTATATCGTATTCTGGAGCTACAGTGACAAATGATATCAAAGGACATGCCGGGTCGGGGCTCGCTGGTTAGCATTCTCAATTCACTGGATATCTCTGCTACGCAATCAAGGCCGCATTAAATATCCATTGGCCCCGAGGCTGTGCCTTTTCCAAGGCCCTTTCCCACTCCCCCTTGCAGCATCAACACTCCACTATTTCCACAGCCAACCTGCACCGACGTCGGTCGCATTTAATTTCAATTCAACACGGCAACGCCAATCACTCAAAAACGCGCTTTGCGTTTATGACTGTAATAAAGAAGGGCTGGGCAAGGGCCGCGGACTGCTTTGGCATAATGTCGATACTCTACCTCTTCACAATCTTTATACTCTGTTGATAACGTTTGTTTCTTGTAATATGGACAATTTAAGAAGAAAAAAAGACCCGATTAATTAGACTAAAAGTGTGTATTGTTAAGACAGAACATGTGGGAATAAAATATACCATAGGATGAGCAACTGAAGTAAGTGGCTATGTGTGCCACCATTTCTATTGTACCACTGTGCCATATGTGTACCAATTGCTAAATTGCAATATTACATTGCTATTTATTCCTGATGAAAGAGCAAGATACAGTAATTGTTCAAAACAAGTCATTACCAACTCTCTGAGGATGCTACACTCGGTAAGTGAGCGCTATCTTCCCTGCCGGCATTCCCGTTACCTAAATCACAAATGGCCTCAATCATCAATCCATTCCCAGCCCGCTTTTCCAAACTCAGAGCCTCCCCTCTTGACATATGCTTCAGGTCCATCGGCCTTGAAGAGGAGACGTGAAGCTCAGTCAGCTTTGCAGTAACTTTGTGTGTGTGTGTGTGTGTGTGTACTGCCTTCCTTTCCTCAGAAACTGACTCAGCAACCACTGTCAGGTCTGCTTAATTTTGTCACGGTTGACTTCCTGCTACCTGGAGTCTCATCTGCCAGAGCCCCTTAATCCACTTGTCATTCACAACAACTAAAAGATAGGAAGGTGCTCCTTGAGTAAAGACCGGAAGGTAAAGCAATGGGGGGTGAATTGGAGTTTTTTTGTGCAGCTGTGTGGGCGTGCAGACGTGCATGCTACTGCTGTGGGAGTTTCAAACTTATGGGAGATAACACCATTAAAAAAAGGAAGCTAGTTAATCATTTAATAATGTAATACAAAAAAAAAAAAATTGAATAGTGACAATATTTTTTTCACTTTTACATGCTTCCCATTCATATATATTATTTAAATGTTGTGCAAATCACTATCATGGTAACATTTGTCTATGACATTGCTATTGAATGGAATGGAAAAATAAAAACAATTTTATTTTTATTTCACCTCATTTTAAATGCATTTTACTGCCACTGAGTGGACCATCGCATAGCTGATGCTCTGGGTGAAGACAAGGAATGAGGATTGTCCGAATGGACATTCCTGAGGATGTTTGCTGATGTAGGGAGAAGAGAGAAGTTTAAATTAGTTTTCACGGTTCATTGAAACGCTCAAGGAAGCCCGGGACTCTGCCGATGTGCGCTACCAAAAAAATGTCAGTTTAGGTTGAATACCTTGAATAACTAAGGTATAGTGCTATTCATATATAGTGGCGTGCTGTCCTTTGTTTCATTGTATTAAAAGTGCAGACCGGAATGCTGCCGTCAGATATAAAAAGAGAAGGAATGGAGAAAACGACATTTGCAATAAGATATAAATCATTTCTTTTTATGTATATTTAGAGATGAGTTTACACACGTGGGTGGAACGATAGCAGAAATAGACATATAAGATACATTTCAGAGACACATACTGCGAGCATAACAGAAACAGGCCGTCCGCTGCTGAACACCTGACTTGTTAATCAAGTTGACATCTTCGCACAACCAAACATCCCAGGAGCAGCGCTGCACGCTACGGTTCGCTCCAACTTTTATTCCGGCACATGTATTGCCATGCGAAATAGGTACATGTGAGCAAGGTCATAGCAGACAGAGGATGTTGTCCAGGGCGATACTATATATTTGTCATACAGATACGCAAATGGAATCGTAATGCTTCTCCCTGCCAGTGTGGTAAAGGAGTGATTCACTATGTGGCCGCCCCGGTTGTTTTTAGTACCTGCCATAATGTTTTCTGAAATGCTGTTATTTCAGCAAGGATTTCACAGAATGTTAGAGATACTAAAAAAGTAAATATATTCAGACATTATGAGAGTTAACAAGGGCAAGTCCAGTTTGCAGGATGTAAAACGTCAAGCCCTGCTCGAGGGGTATTATTATTAAACAATGAATCAATGTCAGTTGTTTTGTGTCCAGTTATGAGTTTTTAAGCTTACCCCAAGCCAATTAAACCTCCCTCTTCACCTGAGACAATGACTAAAATGCGTTTAGTTACTAGATCACGGTCACAGGAGAGGGGAATTCCACCACTGTGGTTTTACTTGTTATTATTCATACTTTACAACTGCTTTCCCTCGTCCTCTCACCTCAGCGTGCCTGGGTGAACGAGCACGTGAATGACCACAACTGGCAAGCTGTCGCAGGCGGTAGACTCACACAGCTTCGCTATTTCTTTTTTCAAGCCGTCTGACGGCATGAACAGAAAGAGGAGACGGTCTTCAGCAGGGGGAAAACAGACCACAGGGGCTATTTGCTTAAATGTCTAAAATCCACGTGCCCTGTTCCGGTTGTCTGTGTTCTGGATGGTAAACGTTTTGTTTTTACTTTTTAGAAGTGGCACTCATGTGATCCTGACATGAGATGCCTTACGGGGGGATGTGATTAGAAGGACAAAGTGACATTTAGTAACATGTTTGTAGATCAATGTACTGCATTCCATCTCGTCACATCTCGGGAGCATTGGTTCCTTTTTTTCACATCTGGTTCACCAAATGAATATAGATAAATTCAGTCTATGAGTTTGTGTAATATTGTCACCTCAGAGTGTGCAAATGTAGATTTGAAGTGATGCACGTTTCTAAGTATTGATGTTCTGTACTTTCATTTATTTGCTATCTGTCACTGGGGGAAGTGAAAGTCAGGTGTTTATTGGCGTCACGGTGTGGGTGGGTTTCTTGTTCTATTTTGTAGTTTCCTGCCTCTCGTGTCTCTGGGTTAACTTCGATTCCGTCCCCGTTGTTTTTTCCCCCGTGAGCGTGATTGTCTGCCCCGTCCCTGATTGTTTCCTCCCGTGTCCAATCACCTGCACTTTGCCACTGTATTGAAACCATGTGTGTCCCTCGTCTCTTTGTAGGTCCATTGTCTATGTCGGATGAGTGTACGGTTAGTCGTTAAAAGAGTTAATTAGGTTTGCCTTGGTTTTTGGTCCCTGTTTGCCACTGGCCATTCTATAGTTAAGTAGTTAAAGTTATCTCTGCTAAATCTGCGTTCAGGTCCCTCCTGTCTCCGGTGCTGCTGCACTTCCTCGTGACAATGGGATTCTTAAATCCCATTGTTTGTGTGGAGTGGTTCGTGTACAGTCTTTGCTTAGCTTTCTGTCATTAGTGGAAGTTGCGCTATACTGCAGCGAGAAATCTTTAGGAGGAATGATGGGCACACAAACCAAGCACTTTGTGAATAGTGACCACATTTTATGAGACACAATGTGAGAGTGTTCTTTCCTCATCCTTAACCATGCAGTTCAAGGTGCCTTTAACCATTTCACCAAGGTGGCACGGCAGGAACTACGCTATTTTTAAGAACACAGAAAAGTGACCTGTGATAATAAGTAGTTTTATTCAGTCGTTACAAACAATACACTCCTTAAAGCATGCATACAAACTTCCTCCTGAGGTAGTGGATGTGTGTTTCATGGGTGGACGCGTGTTCACTACGCACTGACCTTGATGGCGTTGGTGGAAATCTGGATCTCGTGCAGCTTCCTCATCGTGCCGTCGCGGTCGATGAAGTAGGACGAGGCCAGCTGATGAAGAGCTTCCACGTTCTGGGTGGCGTTGACCAGCTTCCTGTCCAGCTTGTTTTTGGCCAAGTACATAGTCAGTGCCTCCTCTCCTACAGGTGGCACAAGGAAATGGAAATATGATTGCTACGAAATTGCTGGGGAAAAATAAAGGATTTGAGGTCTCAAAATATGAAATTATTAATAAATAATGTGAGTACGCAATGGATATTGGCAAATTGTCCGTTATCTGAGCGGCCGGTGGAGCTCTTAACCGGAAGCGTGAGTCAGAGGTCTGAACTCTGAGGCGAGCCGTTTCAGCTTGAGAAACCAGATGCCCCAGTTTTCCAGTAACAGTGTCTTTATTCACCGCTTCATTTCCAGCTGGCAGCATTCCCAGAAATTTCCCCACATTTACTCCTATTGGGGGAGGGCATTATTTCCTGGAGAGGTTTAGTGATACAGACCCGTTACCTCAATACCACAGGAATTTTATCCCGCGGAGAACAAATCTATCACATCCGATGTTTTGTTTTTTTCAGCTACTGGCATCGAAAAGTCCAATTGAATTGAAAATTAAAAAAGCAAACAAATACAAAACAATAGTACCTATTGCAAAAATTACATTAGTGCAGAGAAAATTTGTAAAATCGGAATCAGTGCAGGAAGCTGGTGTGGAGCCACTTAAGGATGACTGTACCTGTTTGTCTGTCCTGTGGCCATTGTGCATGTTGCCTATTATAACAGTGAAACTCTTCTTTTTTTCTGTCGTCTGGGTGAAATAAATTACTCATGCATGGTTTAATGAAATTACTGACCCTGTCTGGTCATACTAACACTGCTCGGGGAGGTGTAAGAACACTTTTCCATTTCCCACTTTTTCAAATATTTTACTTATCTATTTCTCTTCTGTCCCGCAATGCTTTTATATCCCAGAAGAATATTTCCCATAGCTAAGCTGTTGTCTCTTAAATCCACAACCATCTGTTTGGTGTCTTGCTTGCATCTGCCAGAGTTAAGCCAATGAATGAGCCAATTCTGTTTTTGTTGCTGTGGTTTCTGTGCCAGTTCCCTGTATATTTGGGTAAAGTGAACTCCTCACCCATTTGCCGAGGTAAAGAGGTAGAGCCCCCGCCTCTACAGTGAAGTGATTTAAAACCCTCCTCTGTCATAAGGTCACGACTACTGTGAATGCACAGGAAAAAAATCAGCATGTCTCTAATCTCTCCATCTAAATTCACTTCCGTGCCCGGCGTTAACATTTAAGAGGTCAGAAATGAAAGCCCGTAACACGCACCCGTGGCATATTTGTGCACAGTATGTACTGTATGTCAAGTTTGAATGTCCGCAGGAAAGCAGTATTGTATTGAAGTGAACCACTGACCTTTCTGTAAGCCTCTACCACAAAATAACACTTGCATCAGTAAAAAGGGGCCAAATATTTATAGAGCACCAGAGAATCTCTCCCATTTGCATGCTGTGTGTGTGTGTGTGTTTGTTGACACGTTATAAAGAGCTACAAATCGTATTCTTCCACATTTCGCATTCAAACATGCAGAAACAGACGCATGATGGAAAAAAAAAAAAACAGCAAACACCAATTTGCCTCTACGAGCTCAAACAACCTTGCTTTTGAGGATTACTGTTCAAATGGCAAACCATACGCCTGGAACTCCGTCAAGAGCATGTCACATGTGTTCAGGCTCCCGGTGATGTGAACGGTTATTTGGCCCCCCAGCGTTGCATTGGAATTGGTCACTTAACTTGTGGTGACCATGACTAGGAGGTGGAGGGGGGGCAGTCAGGGCCAATGTCTCATGCCTGGTTAGAGTCCACATTCTCTGATGGTGCAATACTCTCTCTCTCTCTCTCTCTCTCTCTCTCTCTCTCCTTCGGGGGTTGGCAAAGTTACACACACAACAATCACAGTCCAACATTAAGCCCTTGATCTGCCCCCCCCCCCTCTCCTTTGACTCAGTACCTCCTGTACGCCACATAAAAGAGGTCCTCTGTACATAAAGACTTGGTGGTCATTGCTCTTGGTCAGGCCAAATCCTAACCTCCGTGACTTAAAAAAAAAAAAATCATCTGTGTGCACCTTTCTGAAAATAATACATTGCATTAAATCATTACGCGGCGCCTTGCTGGCACTCTGCCACAGTGAATCAGCTGCAGCAGGGCTTCTGTGTTGGAGGCTGAGAGGTATTTAAAAACAATGTAGTGTTTCACCTTAAAGGGGTTTGTGTGAAAAGGCATCTCCTACGCATGTACTTCTCATTTTATTCCTTTTTTTTTTGTGCCAGTGTGCAGGTGGATGTCAATGAGGGTTAGAAGTGCAAGTAGGGTTTTAAAAGTAATGGAATGACTGGGAGTGCTCAATTTGGTGTTAATGGCACATGTGTGGGTCACTTCATGGACGACGTTAAACTATACTCTTTCATTCTGTGCAGCGTAAAGAGCTAATTGATTCTGTCTGTTTTGTATTATTTATACCTAAAATATAGATTGTTTCATGCAGATAAAATGTGTATGTTTTAGATGAACATGTTCATTTCAGATCAGACCCAGCAGAGAGCAGTGAAACTCAAGGAGAGTAAAATGTAAACTGTACCTTAGTTTTCTTACTTAAATAAAGAAAACAGGTGATAAACATCATAGATAAATGACCACTGACTGTTGTAATAATATATCTTTGAACACGGGTGGATATTCCTTCTAAAATAAACAAAACAACTGCATATACCCGTTTAAATTAGTTGAGGGATTATTTTGAAAATGTTTCCACTCATATAACAAGATTTCACCTTCTTTATGCGAGGCATAATCCAGAAGTGTGACTGTTACTTTGAGATAGCCGAGTTAACAATGCCCAATTTTGCCTGGTGATTTTCCAGAACAACAAACACCACTAAAAGTTTCGTGGCAAAGCGGTATCGTCGACAGCTCACACACTTAACTCTTCCCCGCCGCCCCCCCACAAAACCCCGAGCACAGCCGGTGTTCGGCATGAACCCTTTCCCCCCCCCCGGGCTTCAGTGACCACAAGTCATTTCGATAAACTACTTCATCCACTCCGGTGGTGAATGCATTAGACTGTTTCAGGGAAAAGGTCTCTGATCCAGTCATGGAGAATGTGTATCCACTGCAGACGAGGAGGAGGAGGAGGAGGAGGAGGACAACTCAGACGCAGCACTGCCTTGCATGTGAAATCTCAATCTAATTGGTCAGCTGTGGTTCTTTCCGACTGGTCGGCCTGACCTGAAGGTGCTGAATTCTGAATTCGGAGTATATCCGCGCTGCCTCCGCTGGGGTTTGCAACACGGAAACAGCCGGGCTGGAGTCAACCAGAGCAGCAAATAAAAGGCAACACCGTAGCACGAGCTAACCCTGTCAGCCTGGAGGTGGAACTGTTTCCGTGACAACGCAGTTGATTAGACAGCTTTATCAACTACTGTATACGTTTGTTTAACAAATCATTATTTTTCTCCCCACACGTTCATGAAGAATTCTCATCTCTCTCAACCCAAACGCTCTGACACCTCAATACAAACACCAACAGGAGTCACAGTGATCCATCAGCCGCCTCCTTCAGTTTTACTGAAAGATTTCAAATATGCGAAGGAGAGGCAATGACAGATGTGGTGAAATAAGTCTGTCACAGCCTCAGTAAAAATGCAGAACTGTCCTCTACACATTGTTTTATATGTGGTATACCTTCCTTTGGTATTCATAGAGGGTACAGCTTTGAGTTTTCCACACACGGCGTGAACCCAGGAGGCAGCGACTTCCTGTGTTGCACTTCAGAAAACTCATCCCTTTAATGCCAAAAGACATCGCACATGCTGGAGACTTGACAATGAGGTATTTAAAATTTTCAGACGGCAGAAAGGCAGCAGGCGATTTATAATTATTTCCTCAAGCATCTTCAGCAGACGCCGTCAGTCAGTAATGTCAAGAGAAAGTAACGGAAAATGTTCCGCTCTGAATGCCTGATAGCGTGAGCGTTTCGCGAAATTGGAACGTTATGATATTCCCACATAAGTTTTACTGTTGCACATGGTTGGACATAAAAAGATTTTAATGTGAAACACCTGCAGAAGAACTATGCATCGTGTTTCTGTGTCCCTTTACATATGCACAATACTGGGAAATCAGGAACCCACTTTTATTCGTTGCTCCTAATCCTTTAACTCTACGGCTGTCAGATCCTTAAACTTTTTTTGAAAGGCTTGAATGGGTAATAACTGAATTATTTTGTCATTCATGCGGATTGTGGATGAAATACGCTTGTGATGCTGCGTATTTGTCACTTCATTGTCAAACTGTTATCAACAGCAAATGATCCAAGTGATACATGGCAGTAATAAAACACTATTTAAAATATTTAAGATAAAAAGGTGACTTTTATCTTGATATGATGCTTCCCAAAAAACAACCACATCCACTCAGTTCAGAGGAGGAAACCTTTAATGTGACTCTTCACACTTGACCATTCTGTTCTTTGCTCCCAAGTGTAACATCCAGGTCGCCAGAGAGAGAATTAGCCTCTTCTTCCTACTTCATCACCTGATGGGTATGCACATTTATTGCTTCATATAAATGTGTTTTTTAATGGGCGATCCCAGGATTGAGACGAGAGGGTACTGACCCGTAATCGGAAACAGGATGGGCTCAAGGTTATAGATAATATGGTGATTACGGAGGCAGAGGTTAAAATGAATGGGAGGCGAGGAATGTAAAGAAAAAAAGAGGACAAATATAAAGTGATGCAGTACAATGAGACGAGAAGGATGCTGTGGTTGAAAAGGTTGCTGGGATTATTTATGTGTGCCAGGTGCCCGAGTTTAACCACTTGCTTTCCCCTTACTTTAGACACACTTAATTACATTTTACCTTCATATAATGTTTCAGAACAATATTGAATTTCCAACTTCCGAGATGAGTGTCTCCGAATGAATCACCTTACAGAGTAGCGGATACAATATTGCTACTCTAACCCTTCACAACTGATAGTCTCCCCCATCGTTTAGCTAAATTATTTACGCCTTGTTTGATAGTACGTGCACTGCAAGATTTAAAAATTAAAGATGTCTCCAACATGGATTTATTTACTCTAACAGTGTGGGCATTAATGGTTATGGCTATCTATAAGTATTCTATGTTCACATAGAATAGCTGTTTTGTTTGTTCTGTGGTTATTAATATTGTGAACAGGACAATTAGGAGTGACTCTTTTCTTAACACAAAATATATCAATATAAATGGTCTGCAGAATTGTGGTCGACAGTCATTATCAACCCTCAATGATCGATCTTGGTAAATGTTAGAAGCAAAATACCCCATTGAAACGTTAGCATGTTTGAGGGATAAATTCCAATTATGTGTACAGTTTTATACTCCGGGGGGGGAAAAAACATGACAAAAAGGAATCTGAATATTTGTCAAAGGCGTTTTCAATGTGACAGCTTTCCAACTAGACAACTTGAGTGACTACTTGGCTGTGTTTCATGCATGCCGTTATATAATACAGACTCAGAGACCAAATAGTTATACTAATTATATCTTTGAAATGCAATTGGCAAAGTATTCACAATTAGTTGCCTTCATGTGTCCCTCAGAGCTTGAGAAGAGATTTTAGGGAGAAGCTATTTATATTTAGACTTCGGCAGCAGGGGTGCTTAACTTTTATTTTGGGAAGCGCATCCAAAATACTGAAATCATCCATTAGGGGCATTTCTTTCTCTTTCCACAGTGGGATTTTGTAATTAAATTAAACTCTAAATACATTTTACCCAATAATTGCAGGGTTTTTGTTGGTTGTATTAATTCCCCAAAGAATACAACTAGTTGCGTCATTGTATGCATCCGTCCACAGATTCATTCATTTATATATTTGACTCCATGTTGTCATCACTTAAATATTTGTAGAAAATTGCCATTATTAGCACATTGAAGTTTAAAGTTAGGGCCAAAACGTGTTCCAGTGAGGTCACAGTGACCATTGACCACCAAATCCAATCAGAAAAACTGAATTTAGAGCTTGAAAGGTTAATGGCCATGGCTGTTGAGAACCTGGTAGAATATAAACACATTAAATAAAAGGCTTCATAAAATGAATCAGCAATGTTCCTTTGAGAAAAGAAGCTTGTTTCCGAGTGCTTCTTTTCTAATATGACATTTCCTTTGTTATTCTTCTAATAAATCGGTGATTGTTGATTAATCAGAGCAAAACATCTAATGATCATTCAACCCAACCACCTGAACGCTCTGTAAATAGTCAAGTTTGATTTTCCTATCCACCTTTCAAATGGATACTACTAATTTCATTATCCTCATATGTGTATTTAATGTTAATTGAGGCACATAAAATCTCCAAAAAGGAATAATACTATGTATACTATGAATTTTGATTCATGGGTTACGGGTGAACTAAGTGTTTTCAGTTCGTCTTGCCTTTTCACTTGTTGTCGTGTTGATGTAAGATACTGTCATTTCTTTGATGCAGGTTTTGGGTCGCTGTCCCGTTCAGAATAAAGTTGGGCCTCTTCACTTCTGTCAGAGTGGAGTTGATCCCGTTCAGGTCAACAACCTTGAAGAGCTGACAAATCCACATACATGCATGCAGCCATCTCTACGTATTCGAATGCAGGTCCTATTTGCTGTTGCATTCATTTCCCATAAAACACACTCATCGTATTAAACAAGCAGCTTTACAACTGAGAACCTGATTCAAATTTTGACTCTTAAATCTTGGGGTTCGTTTGCCAGATGTGCAACATTCAGACCTACTTCATCATCCAGTAAATGGATTGGAAAACTGCTACTCTTTCATCATGGCTGTTCATTTGGCTTCGCTTTATGGATGCGAGTGCTGCCCTGGTGCAAATATGCCTGACGAAATGGTTCCCATGGTCACGTTAAGTTGTTCTAACCTCGCTCCGAAGAGAAAAGGCATTGGGCTGCTGAAACGGCTCGGGGATGCTTTGTCCTGCCATCTCGTCAAGTAGGTGTATATTTGCTGCGGGAGAGTTTTCCCATTAAGCCGGAGAAAGAATTAACTTCCAGATTCAGTTTCTAAATAATATTTTTTAATGATAAAATGAATGTTGAAAAATGTATCTGCATGAGAGAGTAAATATATTACCCTCCTCTTACTCATCTCTGGGTCAACTCTAAGACATGTCGTGTCAATATCTGTGGAAAATACAAATTAAACCGTAATGTTTAAATTATTAGAATCTAATTTTTTAAACCTGGCGCAATCAAAAGAAAAACATCACCTCAAATAGTTTTTCGCAAAAGACATGTATTCTGCCCATCTCATACCCTCTCTGAGGTGAATGAACGGCACCTCTCTTACCTCCAAGGGTGGCTGAGATGAGAATGTGGGTCCCATATTTCTTAATGATGTTGTCGATGAACTGTTGAGTTGTGGGTCTGCGGCCCAGCAGGCGCACGCTGCGCTGGAACTCGGGCATGAGTGGCACGGGGTTCCGGATCAGGTCCCGCCTCTCGATCGCCGTGTTCCTCACCTTCCAACGTGCAAATTCCCTGACGATCACAAGAAAGCAAAAACTGCTCACACAAAAATGAAGTAAAAACCACAACGGCAGCAGAGTGGTCGTTTATTGGCTCGGCCCGACCTCACGGGCGGGTTTGAGGGAAAGCGATAAACACCTGGATGTGAAAGCTGTGGTGTAATCCAACAATCAATTCATGCAGTTATGTAATAACATAATAAAGACTGCAGTGTTTAAATAACATATTTTGCAGTTCGGCGCACCCAGATCTGAAGAATAAAACCAATCTGTAATGAGTCAAGTGATACAAAAGCTTTGCATTCGCTAAGCTTGTGTTCACTAAGCTCTGATAAAGAAATGACAGTTTTTAGGATTATGCTCTCTCCCATTCTTCTGTGATGTTCATCTGTTTTGATTGAATATGCTCAAAGTCCTTTGCACTGCACGGCGCAAAAAAACGACAGCACAAACTGAGCATCATTCCGGCCTTCGTGGTTTACTGCTGCAGTTGCAGATGTGCTTCGTGGCGTCAATAATAAGAAACAAAAGTAAGTATTTTTGTTGACGTTTGTGAAGATGTTTGCTTCTGTTCCCGCTGAGACACGCATCGAGAAAACATTCCCCCAGACAGAAGTTACAGGCATCTCTTTTTCACTGAGGGTTTACAGAAAGACATCAAATGCCACCGTCCTGAGGGTTTTATTTGTCCCAAATCCAAAAAAGAAGGCATTCTGTTAGTGAGTCAGAGGCTAACGCTTGGCACACCCGGGTACCAGGTGTGCGATAACACATACATGCAAGTAGGCGTCTTTGTGCGGGAGTGTTGCATATAAATTGTGTCATTGGTATTAAAGAAAGGCATTACATGTAACCCTGTTCAAGATTTGTTACTTGTGGGGTGAGACGCCGCAAAAGAGGATCTCTGATGTAACGGTTCAGTCAAAGGAGGCATCATTTTAATGCAAATTGAGTTGCACACTTGTCATTTTGTCACACCATCTGTTCTTTCTGCCAATCACAGAAGTGTTTCTACTTTCATATGGGCGGTGAGCATCAGCACTGTCAAAGCAAAGTATGCACACGCTGATCTTTCATTGGGATTAGATTTGTGATATTTATGAAAGTTGTGGTGTAAACATTCATATGGAATACATATACTAATGTGTATGCTGGCAACACTCAGTTTGTAGACAGGGGAAATGTAATTTCCTGATTGGAAAGTTAGTCTAAAATAAAAGAAATCCAGATCGAATTTGTGATTAATGATGCAGACTTTGTATGAACAATGAGCAGAATTACATTAAGTGTGTGATTTAAAGTGCTATAAAAGATACATTCGATCCAAGCTTAGACGACAAACCATTATAATTTTTGATAATTTTACCCTGAATGCCGACTCTAATTGAAAATCAAATTTCTGTTCAATAAATCCATATAAATTCAATCAAGTCAACAAAGAAGATATCAAACGCACACACACACACACACACAAACGTCCGGGGTAATAACCATCCATTAGATATTAGGTATTTGTTCTGCTTTTTGGACATTGGAATTTCAATTGAATGGGGTTTTACTTTTTCGAAAAAACTAAAAGGGGATTTTACCTTCCTTGTTATTGCTGTGAAAATAGAAGAGAAAACCCTATTGAGTCTGAAGGTTGTTTTTGTGCACAACAAATCCTGCATCCTTTTTTTAAGCTCTAACATCATAAATCGAGACAAAAATAGATGTTTCAGTGACTCAATTAAAAAATACCAGTAAACTGGTTCAGTGGATTTCTGTTGCACAGCGGTTTTTTAGTCATAAATTCACTGTCAGCATACTTCTTTTTATTTGGCGGATTTAGCCGTGATTATGGGTCCCCTCAAATTGATCATCGGTTGCTTCATTTGAATTCTCTGCCTGCGCACCGCTTGCTGGCAGCTCTCCCCAATGCTCCAATCGGCGCTCTTTATTAGCATTTAAAGTTGACTTCATTTCTGCCGGTCGGCCGTTGCGTGAAGTAGCCAGCACTTTAAAGGTAATATCTTGACAGCTCCTTTAGAGAACAGTGCATTTCACTCTAACGAGTGGACGTACCTCGTAAGAGAAGGAATGCCTACACAATGGCATTGAAGGCTTTTTCTTTACTCAGTCTCATCACATTGATTTAGAAATCGAATCCATTAAGATACTGTAAATGCTTTACGGCACGTTTGCAACATTGCAAAGACACAATCTGTAATGCAACGGAGGAGTCGCTCGTAGACGCTGATCCGTCTTCCTGATTTAGCTTCAGGAGGTCTGAGTGTTGGCACACATTTCTGAAATCTGGAGCAAACGGTCAAGAGAGACTTTTAGATTTGCGGCAGACTTACGGGGAAACGTTTCCCCTTTTCATTCTTTGTCCAGCTGCCTCACTTCTGTGCTGCTCCCCCCCTTTTTTTTACATCAACTCATTTTCAATCCTCCTCATGGCTTCGTCAGTGCCAATTTCAATATAAAGATTCATATGGCAGCCATATGTACTTGAGCCCTCCTGGCCCAGATTCGGCACGCCAGCAGATGGAACCTGCAACATGATTCAGTATATTGCTGCACAGCTCCAAGACCAGTTTAATGACCTTTCAAGGGAAGTTAAGAGGATATAAATGGAATTGCAGCTCCATAGGAAGCAAAATGGGAACCTAGGTGATAATTGCGTCATGGTGTTCAAGCAACTTGTGTGGGCGGGTACATTACATTTCCTTATGTGGAACCATCTCTGAGCCACAGAAAATACAGAAAACATGCAATGGACATGTATGTGCTTGAATAAATGTTCAAATACTTGCTGTAAATGGCACTGCCCTCCTTTTTACATCAACTAAACACTTTAATGGGGGTTGAGGCTCATACAACATGAAGTCCCTTTTTACTGATAATTTGTACTCATTTATCCCACATGAACACATCCATGTATTTTCAAGTAAAATCTGGGGCTTTTAAAAAAGAAAGAAAACTCAAGTATAAAAGGAGTTGATGCCCCTGTTCTTCCACTAGAACCAGCGTTTTATTTTGGTCTCTTTCCAACGTTCATACTGACAGTTTAGTCCAATAAACATGGACAGTGGTTGCTAGGAAATAGATTGTTAGAATCAAACAAGCCAACCTGCTCTTCAAAAATAGTACCAGAATGAATAAGAATGAGAGAGTTTGCTCAAATGAATGTGCCGGTGGCCCTAACACGTCTGCTTCCATTTATAAATCAAGAAAACACATTAAGAAAACAGTGGCTTAGACCACACCGATTGTTATTAAAGTGTTCTGCTTTGCTTTTTCACTATAAACTATTCCTCCACATCTGGCTCACTGGTTTCAGTGAAGAAGATTCATTTAAAAAGCGAGAACACATTGAGGCGAGCTATCTGAACTCAGAAATAGCCTCAAAAACCTGCGCAATGAAGCCAGTAAAAGCGGCTTTGCTTTGGATGTATTGCAGTATCATTACAAACTAATTACTAGCAGTGTCTCGAAAGTCATCTTTAGATGATGAACGAAATGTATAGCGAGAATAGCCGAATGAAAACAAATGCAGGGCTGTAACAGCTCTTGCATAAATCCATCTAATGTAAATTATGCAAATTCCGCTGCACCACTGAACATTAAGAAATAAATAGGATCAACTAATCCGACATCAGTGATTAACCTGGAATGCTTTGAACCTAACTATTTACCAATTAAAAGAGTGTGGATTCAGAATAACGCCGGTCCAGCGTTCCCGTATGGTCTGCTAACGCTGTAATGAACAGCTGTTTCAACTTCCTTCTGACACCGCTCAAATTTAAAACTGGGTAACGACAGGTGGCTTTTATTTCTTGAGGACAATTCCATTTCATTCGGAATTATTTCAGGGAGCCGCGGCAAGCTCTAACCTCTCAGCAAGTGACTCCTGCCGTGTGCAGGACGAGGTGAGATTTCTATGTGGTCAGATCGTCTGGCTGCACTGATGCATCCACTTCGATGCCACAGCGTTTCATTTTTGACATATCAGCTACAAATATCTTTGTCTGCCAAAATAACTCTCCTTAACGTAATATACTGCATGAAAAAACACTTTGGCCTACTTTTAATTGCTTGATATTTTTGTTTGTCATACAAACAAACCTGCCAGGCATCGAAAGCTCTTTGTGGAGCAAAAATATATGTTACGTGTATTTTTGTACATAGAGAATTGTGCTGAATATATCACTATGAATCTGACATTGATTTATTATAACAACAGCACTAAAAATATTGAAAATATGATCAGAATCCTCCTCTACTTTGACCACGATGGCTTTGAAAGCGATTCCTTCACTCGTCCCGTAAGGCGCTGCTGTGCATATCATGGCGCTCTCTGTGAACACATTGGTCGGGGAAAGCGTTGCCGCGGCGTGTCATCACACCGCTCAGGCAGCGTGTTGTCTGCTTTAATAAGACTCTGGTTGTATCGACTCGGAGGGAATATTCCCCAATGCTCTGACAGGGGCAGGAAACGACCATCACACGTTGTGTCACCGCAGGCACTTTGTTGATCCTGGCACTAATGCCCAGATTAAAAAAACCTTGAGAGGGCATGACAGACATTCAAAGTGGGGAAGTGTGGCGGCCCGGAGGAAAGAGCAGCACGGCTTTGCTGAAATACAATCTCTAATTAATTGAGAGGGAAACTGGCTCAGCAGGACCCGCAGAACAACATGTTCCTGGACGCCTCATAAATGACACCAGGAGACAATAAAAGCAGGAGTGTCAGTAAATTTAGTAAATTAAAAGGACTTGTCATCCTTGGCTTCCTGCTCACCTCCGTCCTCCTTTCATACCGAACCAAAGTCTTTTCAGTTACATAAAATAGGTATTCAGAAAGCGGTGCTCAGTTACAGCTTGTCCTTTGTCAGCTGGAGGTAAGATTCGCGACTGTCTAACAAAAAGCCTGTGCCATTTTCTCTTAACTTGAAATACAAAAACAAACCCTTTATGATGAAACAAACCAAATAAAACTGTTACACCTAGCTATGAACATGTTGGTGT